TACATACATACATACATACATACATACATACATACATACATACAATATTAGTTGAATAACTACAAGGATTATCAGATCTATACTAAGTGGTGTGAAAAATATAAAACAGGAACACCTGATCCCTTGATTGGATGTGTAAATTTGCTCAGAAATTCTAGGATAAAACTATCAATAAATTTATTAAAATTCTTTAATAACTCTTTAATCAAACCAAACATTCCATTTGAGAGTCTATTATGGCACTTCTGGTTCCTTTTTGCCCTAATTCTACTTCGCCATTTCTGAATGTAAAGGTAAACATTTTCAGGTAAACATATATCTTGTATGTTCTGTTGCTTCAGTTCCAGTTTTCTTAAGCTCCAGTGTGATTGTCTCCTAATAAGGACAAGAATTTAGTTTAATATGTTCAACAAACCCTCTCTCTATGAAACCTTGTAATTTCTGCTTGTTTCTTTACTATGGGTTATTGCCCCTTAAAACTAAGTCTGAAAAAGTGAAGACAATCTTACAGAATAAAATGTAATAGACTAGAGGACATAGTGAAATAATTACATGATATTTTTTGCCAAGCATCAACATCACTTGAGTTCATTGAGTTTCCACACAGTATACAGATGGAAAAATTATGATTTACAGTCAGTTTTGGACAAGACTCCATATTGCTTTCCAAGATTGTTATGCAAAAGCAAACACTAAGAATTTAAAAAGCTATTCTTTACAAAAAGAAGAAAGTACCATGTTTGATATACTTACCAGGGCTGAAGATAGTAAGGTTTCCCCAATATTGCATCTTTTCTGTTGATCAGACCAAAGTACTAGAATCAGCAGTATGTTTTTCCAATTCTTCACTTTATTGAAACATATAGTATAAACTATTCCAATAAATCGGCAAGAATTACAGACAGGCAATTCAAGGAAACTGAGCAACAGTACAATATTACAGGCATGCTTAATCTATAAAAAAAAATTCAGCATACATCTGCCTGTCTAGAAAGCATTTTCAGGTAAACATACATTGTGTAAAAATATTCTTAAGACCATCAGGTGAATGGCCAAATATCCATTAGCCTGGAATGGAGGTAGGAAAAAGCCTGTTTTAAACTCTGGAGCACAGAATTATATACAGGTTTGGATTTCTTTGCACTACAGCACAGCAAATTGTCTGTTATGTTAATGTATACATTTTCATTCTTGTTGACAATAAACACAGTCTTGTTACAAATTAAGCCACTTCCATATAAGAATTGAGGTTCTGAAGAGGTGAGATTTATCACTGAGTCCTGGTGCGATGCCTAAAATGTAGTTAAATGATCAACCTTTAAGATACTGTGCATAATGTGAAGCAAGTCTATGACTTCCAGTGTTCTTGTGTATTTTACAAAAAAATGAAAAAAAGTGCTATAGTGAATAAATGCACATTTTGGAAATACACATCTTTCTCCTTAACAGCATATGGTGATTATGATCTGGAAAAGAATCTCTCCCTTTATAATTTGATCTACTACTGGCCTATAAACATAGAGCCATTGTAATGTTAACAGAGGTTACATTAGGAGGGTGGAAAGGAAGAAATGGATGAGGTAAATAGATGTATCAGTAGTCATCCTAAACACTAAAACCTGAGATAAGGCTCTGAGTAATCTGCCCCGAGTCTTCAGAAGAAACCTATCTAATTCTTAAACATAGCCAATGTTTCAGCAGTTTCCTTCCATACTTGCTATAGAGTGTAAAAAAGATGATTTTGCTAAGTAGCAAAACATATTATCAATCTAAAATATTTAAAAGTAACTCAGACGTGCCTAATTCATTGAATTATAAGTAAAGAAAGAAGGTCTGACATTATTATAGCCAATTTCAATAAAAAATAGTTTCTACTTACTCAGGAAGTTGATTGGTCTGCCTGGAAGGACTTAACACACATACACATGACCTGAAATTCCTAAATTCTGCGCGTACAGTAGTAGACTGATTAACATATTTATTATCTTAAAGTTCTAACTAATTTCAAGTAATTTTTATGTTCTTAATTAAATCACTGTTCAAGATATTTCATCATACTGTTTTTGCTCAATATAACTTGAATAAGTATGGAGTTTAAGATAAATATTTTGGTTAATTTTTTTATATTTTAATTAAAACTCTGCTTCTTATCCATTGAGAAACTATATCTATTTACACACACATTACTATGTAAAAAAAAAACCTTTCTCTCTCTAAATATTGTTTTAATCAGTTTATATTGTGATTAAGCTCTGGATGACTTAACTGGTTTTCACTAGAAACATTAAATGAATTTATGACCTGTTACCATGTGTTTTTCCAGAGAATATAAAATTCCAGAGAATTTGGTAGTTTATGAGTAAAAATACCGGCACATTGGGGTTTGTTTCCAAAAAACCAATGATTTCTGAAGAATTTGACAACTGCTTCTCAGTCTGTACAGTTAGCAGGGAATTTATTCCAAAAAATTGCAGTTAGTTTTAGAAGAATATTATCTTTGTATGTGCATGATTGCTATTACATCAAGGCAATAAGTGAATACTTAACATTTTCTTGTAATCCAAAATAGTTCACCTTTTTCAAAAAATTGCTTGAGAATTATTGATTACTTTACTACAATGAAAAGGTGATTAATGAGGGATTTTAAAATATTGTTTTACTGAAATTGAAAGTTCTTAAGCAATGTAGTGCTGCTAAGCTTATTACAGGCATCCCTAAAAATTCCACTGATACAAGACATCTTAAAGTCAAAACTTGCATGCTATTATATTCTCTATGTATTTTGAAAATGAACTTGAATGACCTAAATGTAATGCTAATGAAACACTAATAATGTAGTAGAAGAAATAGTATGACATGGTTTTGATTATTCAAGTATTTACTCTTTGTCTGATTTTAACAGTTATAACTTGTATTTTCCAGATGCAGAGCCAAGATACTTGATTGTGGTGAGACCAGTTTCCAATAAGAAATTCTGCTCAGGTATTTCAAAACTATTAAACATTTTTTTCCTTAAAAACTCAGGAGGTCTATATTTCAATCAAAGTAACCTACCTTGAATTTGAACAAGTTAGAGTTAAGCGAAATATAAATTTGATAAATAAAAAAATAATAAATATACATTTATTATATAATAAAATATATGTACAATTTCAAGACATGAACCAACCTATTCAGCTTGTTTTTAAGAAGAAACCAATGTTAGCAAATTCAGCAATATCTTGAAGAATTACATATTCATGTTCATAAAATCAAACCTGTGTTAGCTTCTTGCTTTTTCTTATGATGTAATGAAATAGTGGAAAGAGACCAAAAGAAGAATCATTCTGTTGATATATGACATGCATCCAGAAGATAGTTTGCTCTGTTGTTTCACAAATCTGAGTAATAATATTTTCTGCTATTAATTTAGAGATAAATTAGCCCATGTTTTCACTTAGGCTCATAAACAGTGAGAAATAATTGACACAATTATTCACATGTATGATAATGGAAGACATTCAGCTCTGACAAACTGCAGAACAATTCCATATTTCTGCAGAGGTTTCATGTTGCTATAAGTGCCTGCACTGCTGAGTGCTGTCTTCCATGGAGCTGCCAATATGCTACTATTCTAATTCTCTATGTTTGCTATTTATGCCAAGAGCAAAAAATACAAAAAAAAAAAAAACAACCCTGGCTTTTGTATAGGAAGGTCAATGAAGCTGCACTCAGAGCAACTGGAAAAGATGAAAGAAAGGTGCTTCTTTACCTTAGCTGTTGAAAGGAAGGGAGAAAATCTGGAGATATGACAAGATGGTTCAATTATCTGTTTTTTAGGGAAAAAACACATTTGAAAACTCTGTTTACCTGCCAGTTCAATGATGTGATAAAAGGCCACTGCCAATCTTTAATTAGCATGTTGCCTGCATATGGAGCCATAAGAAGATGAGACAAGTTCACTGACGTGAATTGTATTTATTGATTTTGAAAGTTCTAACTTTTGCTGTTTACAAAAACAATATAATAAATACAAAATAACTCCAGCAATAAAAACCAAATCCATTCAGTAAACCTGTAAAAAAAAAAAAAAGCTTGTCATAATTTCCAGAAGCCATTCATTGATTAAACTTAAGACTTGCAGCAATTTTGGCAAAGTGGAGTCATGTGGGTCATCAGGAGGATATTGTTCCAAAAGGCAGCGAAAGCTTTTCTCCTGTGTCTGAGAAGCTAGCCTTCTCAGAAAACAAACAAACAGTGGGCAGATACTGTGGGAAAGAGACAGTTCTCCAGCTAGCTATTTGTTATGACATTTAGGGTTTATAGGTCACCTGGAATCCAACTGGTAACCAGTGTACTCATGCTGCAGAGATATTACAATGACCTAGCAAGGCTTGCCAATTATTGCTTCTACCACACGCTTAAGGGTAGCCACCTGTAGAGTTCATTGCAATAGTTTAACCATCAGATAACCACGGCTTGGGGAGGGTGCTCCATTAGGAATGAGCATAACTGGCAAACAAGCTGTATCTGTGCAGAAAGCTTCCTGATCACAGCTGCAACCCACTCCTCAAGCAAAAGCTGATAGTCAAAAAATACCCCTAAATTACATCCATGTATTTGATATATAAACATATAGTATTTAAGTAAATCACAGCATTTGTTGTCTCATAAAAGAAAATAATAAGGAAGAAGGAATATTATATATGAAACTACTTTTTTGAATGTGCAAGGCGGAAGTCTCTCTTTGTTTTTGAATCTAAACAAGATTCAGAAAAAGAAAAAAGTAGAGAATTCTAACCTGAAAATAAAGGATGTGTACCATAGAGGGAATCATAAAGATTCTAAAATAATATTCTGCTTAAAAAAATCTAATCAGGCAAATTAAAACAAACAAACAAATACAGCAAAAGGTGACTTGGTGGGAAAAAAAGAGACTATCCTGATCTCCATGAAGATAATAGGGCTTCTGTATTAAGCTAAAACATTTTAGCTTAATAAACAAAATGATTAGGCAACTGGAGGCTAAAACATCAGAAGAATGATTGCAGGAATTGGGTATATCTAGTTTAATGAAAAGAAGGACTCAAAGTGACATGAGAGCAATCTTCTGATATCTAAGAGCCTTGGTGACACAGTGGTTAGAATGCAGTATTGTAGGTTAATCCTGCCAGCAGTTCGATTCTCACCAGCTGAAGGTTGACTGAGCCTTCCATCCTTCCAAGGTCAATAAAATGAGGAGCCATATTGCTGGGGGCAATAGGCTGACTCTGTAAACCACTTAGAGAGGGGTGTAAAGCACTGTGAAGTGGTATATAAGTCTAAGTGCTATTTCTATTGCTAAGAAGAGGAGATCAATCTATTCTCCAAAGCACCTGAAGGCAGAACAAGAAGCAATGGATGGAAATGAATCAAGGAGAGAACCAATCTAGAACCAAGGAAAAAAATTCCTGATAGTTAGAACAATCAATCAATCAGTGGAATGGCTCCCTCCAAAAGTTGGGGTGCTTCAGCACTGAAAGTTTTTAAAAAGATATTGGACTACCGTTTGTCCAAAATGGTGTATGGAATCCTGCCTGAGCAAGGGGGTTGGACTACAAGACCTCCAAGGTCCAACTCTCTTATTCTGTTCTGTTATTTAAAACAGATGCTTTTTAAATTGTGCTAGCTAAAATCAAGCACTGCTCTACAAACTGTTAAAGCAACTACATCCTTTCCAAGATTCACTGATTACTTTGCAAGCTGTCCCTAGTTGTCTAAGTATGTCTGTACAGACATTTCTTCCTGAGCCATGAGGACTAAAATAAGAAGTTCCCTTTCAGTTTTACTGATGCTAATCTCTGGCCAGCATTGCCAGGTATCGGCCTCTTTCCATGAGCAACTCACATGACTCTAATTAATGGATAATATTTATTTAGTAGACACAAAAAATGGCACAAACATTTCACTTTTTTTCAATTTGTCTGAGTTTTGCACAACAAAATAGAAGCTATAAACCAATATGTCTGGGAAATGCTTCATGGAAATAAAACCACTACATATCTTTAAACAATAACAAAAACTCAGTATGCCTTTTAGCACTACTTACAACTCAACCCCAAATCTTATGAAATTTATACATATTCTACTCAAAACCCAAGGAATAGAAATCTCATTTTGTTTTTGTTAAAAGACGGACAAATTTGTTAGAGTGTGATCATAAAACTAAGCAGTATTCAAGGAATTAAGAAAGGGACATTTGGAGATGAGAATTTAGCATATGTGTATGCACATACAAAGACATATTTAAAAGTATGAAGGAAGAATGAGTTAGAAATTAAAGTGGAGAAATCTGATACAGAGAGAGAAATGTTAAAACTCAATTGAATGTGCAATTCGCTATATGCCTATGATTATGTATTTTTAGAGTTTCATTAGTTTCTTTAATTCTCCTAAAATATAAACAATTGAAACCCCAAACTAGCTACTAGCAACTTAAAGCTTCCATCATGAAATTACATATGAAAAAGTATAAATTATGTTTTCTCCTAAAATTTGGCACTAATATACTCAAATTGGTACTTACGGGACAGCCTAGTTCACCTAATACAGATTCAGCATCCCTGAGTACTGCCTTAATTATCCACTCATAACAGGAGTATCAGCAGCAAAGTGGCAGCAAAGATACTACGATCAAAGTCTCGTTTGCTTTTATGTTCACTGTGTGTAGGACACACATGAAATGAAAAATAGGCAGAGTTTCAAGTGTACTATCACTGCCACCATCTTGGGTTTTTAATTATATTCTCTGGACACCCTTGACTCATAGAGTGGGGTTCTTTCTCAATAGAAAAAAAATCTATTGAGTATACAACTATTGATATACAAGACTCATATCAACAGTAAACCAACTTGCTTGTGAAAGTGCTAAGTACAGACAATTTTTTTGCTTGGAAGAATGCTTCTGCTCAGAGATTTTGAAATGACAGACTTATTCCCACCACACTTTCCCTTGTGAATAGAAACATGTAAATAATGTGCTCTCTTGTGACTGTGGTACCTGCTTACAAGAGATGGGTTTCCTTATCTGATGAATTTGTGCTGACAATCTAAGTGGTTTTTTTAAAAGAATTGTGTGTTCAACTTTTTCATGAATAACTTTGATTAAGAATAAAGATTGGGCATGTGAATTGGGTAGCTGCAACATTCAAGTTCCAATTTATATTCTTCAAGTTTTAGTGGATAATTGCATTGAGCAGTCATTTCCTAAGGAAGTGATGTTATAACATGATTGAAGGATCTTTTTCCATGAGAACAGTATGATTGTTGGCAATGGGGACTAATATATACACAAAAGTTTCTGCTGTAAACTATTGTATGTACCTGTGGATGATCTTTGGATGATTGTAGATAGAAAGTGACTTGGCAGAGGAAGCATTACATTACTTCTTATATGTTGGAATATAGATGTAAAATTATTGCCCAAAAAGTTCTGTAGGGAAATAATTATGAGTAATTGCATATGTAGAATAAACAATGTTATCTGGTTTTGATTATCATGAGGTTCTACTATAGACATTTTGAGAATAAATATCTGCCCTCTTATAATATAAGAGATGTAATCTTCCCAATCACTTTAAATTAAGTTATTCTAAATTGAAAATAGCTCATCAACTATGAATTTAAACTTTCCTCATCAATATTTAATTTTAGCAATAATGAAAAGAGAGATGTTGTATTCTAATGATTCATAGTATACAGACCATATAAATTTTATATGATAAATTTAGAAGCCTTCTGATATACAATATGATAGATAGATAGATAGATAGATAGATAGATAGATAGATAGATAGATAGATAGATAGATAGACAGAGAAAGAGAGAGAAGGGGGGGGAGAGAGAGATAACAAAATGCAATTTTATATTTCTTACATAGGTAAAACAAAGACACCCAAACCCCTTCAGCTGGTAATAGGCACTTTAACTCCAACATCTGTCTTCCTCTCCTGGGGCATATTAGTCAATCCAAAGCATGATTGGACCACAATGAATAACTGTCCAAATGACAGGTAATGGAATGGGTTGATACTATAATGTTTTTCCATAATGCATCTGTTTTATATGCAAAAATGTGTTATATTCATGAAATTACTGTTTGAATAGATCTGCACTATAACAATTAAATTCTTGCTATGTTTCTTTTTGTGAAGGTAAAAGTGTCTTTACTCTAAGCAACTTTGCTCAGAGTAAAAGATAGTGTGTTATGGTTAAGATTTCAGACTATGCAGAACCAGCTTCGTGTCCATCCTCAACCACAAAAACTCACTAGGTAACTTTGGACAGTCCCATCCTCTCAGCCTAACCTCTCAACTTATTGAAAGGGAATAGAACAATAAGAGACTCATATAAACCACTGTAACCATACGCTATTTATATAATGAAACAACTAAGTGAAACTATTTCACTATTATCCTTTTCTGAACTACATTTATTATGTTTTACCTAGACCTCATATATCCACAATATCATTCAGTCCTGTAATCCCTGGTGCTCTGTACAATTAGAAATGATATTATTCAGCTATCTTTGATGTGGTAAATTGAATATACTTGTAAACAGAGTCATATCTTTATAACCGTTATGGATGGATGAATGGATGAAGAATGTCAACAGAAGTGAAATGAATTAAAAAGATAATAATGATAAAAAGGGATTATAAGTGAAGTAAAACAAATCACAAACAGTAAGACCAAAGTAGTTGGGGAAAATTTTTTTAGAGAATCTAATCAGTTCTAATGAATATGGTATATGTATTTAAAATGAAAGAATAATGTGATGGCACTGTAATTTGAGAGTCATTCACATAACAAACCCATAACTGACAATGAATCAGCCAAGAATTTATCATGTGGCCTCTATAAAAGTTGCTAATTAGGCTGCTGTTTGTGTGCTGATGTAGATAAAGTGCTATTTCAACATATTTGTTCACATACATTCTATGATGCTTTGCAGATGAATTTTATCATGTTGGGATTAAATAAAAACTACTAGATTAAATAGGAATTGTCATAATTTATGAAGAAATGTTTCTATGCCACAGGCAAGTTCCTAAAATTATGTTTGCAAAAAAGAAGTTCTGTTATTAAATTACACAGATTATACATTATGCAGTCAAATAACACTGGCAGATGAGAAAAGTAGATTGTGTTTTAATGGAACATTTAAAAGCTTCTGTATTTGCAAAGATATTTACAATAAAATGAAAACATACTTCTTATTTCTATAGAGTAAGGTTCTCCAACTAGCCCTATGGAAGATTCCCTGTGGCCTGCCAGCTTCTCCCATGTACTGTACTTTGATCCTTTCCAAACAACACAGGGAAAGAAAGTAGGGATGTATTCATCACTGTTTAGAAAGGAAGATAGGATCTCTTGATTTCTCCAGTAGGACGGGTTATGAGCCAGCTGGAGGACTGCTGGACAAGGAAGGAGAAGCATTTTCCCTTTTAAAATTTGTGCCAGCTTTAAGTCAGCTGGAAGGTTGCTTTTTTGTCACTGGGGATCATTGGATCCCTTGGATTGTTCCCTCCCTGTGCTATCCAAACTAGCTCAGGGCTGACCAGATGAGGAAGAAGAAGCCAGCTGAAGGGTTACTTCCTTTGCCTGTGAGGGTGGTGAGAAGTGAGCTGTACTACATTATCTTTTTCCATAAATTTGTGAAATTTGTGTAAATTAAAGTTATAAAGATCAGCCTTCTTTTCTCATCTGCAGTTATTAATTTATTATTTCTTTGGAATATTTTCCAATGTTTGACATTTTTAAAATATCATTTGTCCATACAAGCACACTGTTGCTTCTTTGTAGCTGTTCCATATCTTTTTTTGCTGTTGTTGTGAATCATATCATATTAAGCAAAATAATACCATTCCATTAAATTTTATTCATTCATTTGTAAAATTATTTTTCAAGACCCTTGAATATTTGCAAAATGTCCAATGTTGCCCTCAGACTGAAAAGTTTGGAGACCTCTGCCATATAACATAATGTAGGTCAGCTAATTTAGCATGGTTACTAAGAAAACTGTATGAGGGAACACTGGTCAGATTTGCCTGAGTCTGGATAGTTGGATTGAGCTGATTCAAGACACTTAACTCAATTTAGATAATGAAATTACTCTGTCTAATATCTCAAATATCACCATCTCAGGTTCCTTTTTCCACAATTCCCTCAATTCAAGAATGTGTGAACTAAAAAAAAAAACCCACAAAGTTTGTGACAATACACAATAAATTTGTGTTTTGCTTTTAGCAAAGATGCACACAATGTCCTTCATTTTCTTCAGTCTGAAAGTTTACATTGTTATTGACTAGATTTTATACAGTGCGCTACAGAGAAAAGGACAAGAATAAGAAATGGATCCTACAGCTTTGTCCAACTACAGAAACAGTGGTGGATAATTTGAAACCCAACACTATTTATGAATTTGGAGTGAAAGACAATACAGATGATGGGATCTGGAGTAAGAATTTCATTCACAAAGTGATTATATCTGGTAAGTAATTTATAAGGGTTTCAACCTTTCACTGTTTAAAAAGCAGTTTAGTTATTGATTGGATTTTAACCTGATTCCAAAGAGAATCTACATGGATAATAATTTTTAAAAGAACATGCAATTTAAAAGAGGAACATAACCACATAACATAACCAGACATGAATAACACCCAAACTAGATAAACTATCTTCATAGTATCTGCCTGTCCAATTCTATATGGCATAGTTTGCATGCTCTAGATTCTTTAAATTAAGCAACCTGAACTGTGCCTTCTAGATTGAAATTACCCCATGATTTGTATGGCCATGACCCTGCTATTGTAAGAAGGGCTATGAAAAGCTTGCCTTTTCCCAAGCCTTTAGCAAAACTGAATGAAGTACCCTTGGATTTTTTCTCTCCTTCCCATTCCAGTCTGGTTTGTGTCACTTAAGAGTATCCATTCTCTTCTAATTTTCTCCTATCACAGGATGTATTCATAAAGCCAACTACTTCTGATCTTTCCTAGAGTACTTCAAAAAAAAAAACCTGTCTAATAAAACAAACAAAAAAAGAACTAAAGTTAAATTAGTGAAATATATAACTAAGCCTATTATGCCAATTATGACCATTCCTGTTTATTTAAAATCTTGTTACATCCCATGTTTTAGGTTAATATAAAATGCTATTGAAAGGACTGACTTTGAAAATTGTTAAATGTTTTAGCTTAGGTGAACCCAGGCAATTGATTTTGAAAGCATGAAAGAGAAACATTGTCATGCCCCAGTTGGAATCTGATTCTGAAGGAGAGGTGGAACAACTGACAGGGAGTGTGGCTCCGGTGGCTGTGGAGGAAACTGGGGAATGACACAGGCCAGCTGGGCATTCAGAGGAAGACCCAGGCCCAGCCCCTCTTCATCCTAGGGCATGCAGGGAGGACTGGATAAGGGAGCAACATGATTTACAGGGGAGGAAAGGACCCTGATCTCCTTCATGGGCTGCAGCTGGGAACACTGTTTAAAAGGGCAAACTGCACATGGCAAAGTTGCTGGAAGCAAGCATGCCTTATGTTTGTCAAGGCTTATCTGGGTTTTGGCATCCTCCCAACTGTATGTGTCTCGTTATCTTTTGGAAGTCTGCAAGTTATTATTCTGGTCTGTCATGTTAATTACTTCAGCATGGTTTGTGTTGGGTTTTTTATTTCTACTTTATCTGTATTTTGGGTTCGGACTGTATTTCTTCCCTCTGTAGACTGTTTTTGGAAGAGTTTGATCTCCTGTCGAGGATAATTGGACATTGGCGGCCAAGTTGGAGGCATTAAAGGGAATTTATCTACTTTGGTGACTTTGTAATTTTTGTGCCACGCCCCAGGTCATCAGAAACATCTTCTTGCTTCTTCAGTTAATAATAGCCTATTTCTGAGCATGTATATGTATAGGTGCTAGTTATGGCCTATAAAACTGAATAAAACCTAGGCCAAGTCTACTTGAATTTTTGGATATATATTTTTCATATGGCCCTATTCAAATTACAATCTTTCTGAAGTGCTTTCCATTTTGCTAATACCAGGAATATTTTCAGCAAGATGAAAGAAGATCTTACAATGACTGAGCCTAGATTTTGAAATATACTGCTATAGGAGTATAGGACAGCCATTTTTATGTCAATAGCTTTTGGCAACTTATTTGATATGCAATTGACATTAGTTTTATTTTATATATATATATTTGTGTGTTTTTTATTATTTTAATTTTTGAACTAGTTACTATTTGTATATGCTTATGGCATTATCTTTAGGGGAATGATGGGCTATGAATGTAATAAAGAAGTAAAATAGGAGTACTTACTCATAAATATCATCCAGCTTAGTTAGATCACTGACTTAACTGAAGAAATCAGCTGGAATTTAAACATAGTTTGAGGAACAGAGCAATACATTCATTAAAATTATCATTAACTGTGGTATAAACAATGGGAAGTAGTAAGAAATCACATTACATTTGGAATTAAAAAATTAGTGTATTTATGTATCTTTATATGACTAGAGGAGGGTTTTTACATATATATATATCTATATTTATTTATGTCAGGTAAAAACAAAGAAAATGGAGACCTCCAGAACAACTACAAAATCCATAGACAGGTATGCAATGACAATTATTTTTATCTTTATAAATTAGCATATTTTCTATGCAGGTAAATTGCCTGCCCATTATGGTTGAAATTTGGGATAAATGTTAAATGACTTCAAATGGTTGTTAAATGAACAGTCACACCTCAAGTTCTACCTGTACTATATATCACATATGACTCTAAAAAATTTTCCTTTTCCATGTAAAATGTAATAATATATGAAAATACTGCTATTAAATCCTGTTTAATAATGCTACTCACTTCTCACATCAGAACTATATTCCATCCAGTTATAGATCAAGGTGAAGAAAAGTTGGATTTAATTGTCTTGTTTGTATTTTATATTAAATATATTTTTGATTATGTGTATTATTCAAGAAGATTTTTAGAGCTGAAATACTTGGATTATAATTATTTTATCTTTGATATGTATAAGATGATATTTTCCTTTGCTTATTTTTATTTTTCTGAGCGCAGTCTAGTATCTATTTAATTCACCAAAAATTACTTTTTTAACATACTTATTTTAATTTTTATCATAAATAAGCAACACCATTACAATATTTTAAGATGCAGACATGCAGGCAGTATTAAACTATAAGCATCTCCATTTCTGCTCATACACTTCAACATTTACTTTTAGATTACTATGTATTTAATGCTGTTGGAGATCGTTGAAAGTACCACCTTGGAAATGTCTGACTCTTCAGTGTCCTGATTCAGGCTGAACAAACACACCAACTTTATTTACAAGTGGTTCATTGTCAAATAGTATTCCAGTTAATTACAAAAGCAACTACACTGTTGGCTATGCAGACACATATATGCCTTGGAAGATATAGTTTAGAATTTAGTCCCAAATCAAAACGTAGGAGAGCACAGTTTCAGGGAAGTGGAGCATAGCCATGACAGAGAAGGAAATGTGATCCACAACAGTCCAGGAATCAAGTCCCAGAAAAATTAGTCAGCTGACCCACGTCAAGGAGCCACGAGTTAAGGAACAAAACAGGAAGATTGAACACAGGAACACAGATCTGAGATTGGTGAGTTGTTTCCAACATATGATTTCCAGATAAGTGGAAGTTGTTTTTAAACAGGCCAAATAGATATATGGCTCAGTTATGGTCATTGGCATCTTCTCAAGGAGGCAAGATCACATCATAAACAATATGATTCTATACAAAATCTCCTAAATTGGAAATTCTAACTGTTCCATTTATTTAGATACCTTGATGACTACTATATGGATTTTCTTCTCTCTCCCCCCGCACTCCTTCTTTCCTTCGTTCTTTTTTCTAGAGTTTAAGGAAATTTCCTGTCATGCATCATCATCTTGTTAACATCAGAAGCTGAATCTGATTGTAGTATAATGATTTGTTTAATTTATAATATCTTAGTTAATTTACAGGATAGTTAATTTACATCTACATTCTATTCAATTTGTTTATTAAGAAAATGTATATGGCCAGTCAACTCACTCACAGGAAAGAGCAGGACAGAAAACAATAAACCCCCACATCATTCTAGTATGTTAGAGAATATATTAGCAATCCACCTTGAATTTAAATATAGTATATTTCTACAGTCCAGCATTGCATCTCATATTTAATTAGAACACTGATCTCTGAAAATTGCATCTATGTTTAAATCTTTCTTCCCCTCTATGCCAAATATTTCATATGTAAGATCATAAACCCTTTTTAGTTGTTATCAGTGGGTGTTGCTTCTACTTGCAGAGAAAGGAGCAAGAATAAGCACGCTATTTTCATTCTCCCTTAGCTGTCATTCAGTTTTTGTTCCATGAAAAGTATGTGTTGATAGATGACTTTTTGTAATTGTGAAAACTCTTTATGCAGTTAAGAATTCTTAAATACCATAGATTCAGGGGTGGGATTCTACCAGTTCTGTCCAGTTCTGTAGAACCAGTAGCTCTGAAGAGCAGCAGACACAGAGCTGGTTCTATGTCTGCTGCTGTTTTGGCCCACCCGCCTGCCCGGGCTCTTACCTGACCTTTATTTCCTGCTTTTTCACCTTCACCTGCCGTGCGAGGCACAGCTGCAGTTGAAAAAGCAGGAAAAAAGTGCTTTTTCAAACGCTGCTTCTTTGCATGCAGCGCTGCTCAGTGGTCCTGGAAGCAAGCTGATGATGATTTACAGGCGCGCGCGCAGCATGCAGGAAAGCACATCCTAAATCACCTAACCGGTAGTTACCCCTGTCGGATCCCACCCCTGCATAGATTCAAGCAGTATTTTTCTACAATAATGTTCTATGAAAAAAAAGGCAAGGCTATTGAAGATGGGATTCTTGGGTCCAGAGAATGAGAGAATTAGCTCATTTGTTCTTTTTCTCCTTTTATTGCATAGAGTAGCAATATTACAAGAATAACTAAAGATAGATTATAAATATTCTGTATTGCAACATTATTGCAAATGGAAAAAGACTTAATACAGGTAGTCCTCAACTTATGATCACAAATGAGCCCAAAATTTATGTTGTTAAGGGAGACATTTGTTAAGTAAATTTTGCCCCACTTTACCTTTCTTGCCCCAGTTGTTAAGTGAATCACTGCGGTTGTTAAGTTAGTGGCATAATTGTTAAGTAAATCTGGCTTCCCCATTGGCTTTGCTTGTCAGGATATTGCAACAATCATAAATATGAACCAGTTGCCAAGTGTCTGAATTTTGATCACATGACCTCAAGGCACTACAACAGTCATAAGTGTGGAAATAGGTCATAGGTCACTTTTTTCAATGCTGCTGTAACTTTGAACAGTCACCAAATGAACTGCTGTAACTTGAAGATTACCTGTAGACACAGTTAACATGAAATATTTTATTAGACCAATTTCTTCAAAAGGTGTATTATTGTCATGCCCTTGTTAGAGTCGGACTCTGAGGGAGAGGAGGAACAGCCGACAGGGAGTGGAGGTGTGGCTCCGGAGGTTGTGGAGGAGGCTGGGGAAGGGCAGAGGCCAGCTGGGCAGTCAGAGGAAGAACCAGGCCCATCCCCTCTTCATCCTAGGACATGCAAGGAGGAATGGAGAAGGAAATAACTTGGCTTACGAGAGAGGAAGTGGACATGATCCCCTCATTGGTTGCAGCTGGGGAGAATAGCATATAAGAGGAACGGTTAAAACACAGCGTTGCCAGAAGCAAAGCGTGTTTTATTTTGGTCTGAAGTTATCTTGGTTGGTGTCCTTCCAACAGACTGTGCCTTATTATCTCCTTGAAGCTGGTAATTACTTATCCTGGTCTGTTGTGGAATTTCTTTCATTGTAGTTTGTTTTGGTTTTTTATTTCACCTCTATCTGCTCATTAAGTTCAGACTGTATTGCTTTCTTTTGAAGACTATTTTTGCATAAGTTTTGTCTCCAACTGAGAATTATTGAACAGTGGGGCCAAATTGGAGGCATTAAAGGACATTTTTTTACGTTTTGGATTTTGTTACCTTTGTGTTACACTCCTGGTCATCACAATTATAATATTACACTGGAAAAGGTACAAAAAATATCCCCACCCCCAACTAACTTAATATAAAAGAGACGTTAAGTTTAAAAATTAAGTAGGCAAATCTTTAGAACTTGTCAGAGCGCTGAGACTTTGGAATGGTCCAAAGGAGCTTTGCAATTTTGCTTTCTTTGTATCATTAGGAATTGTACAGTTGCATACCAGAAATCAAAAACAGAACTTGGAATATATATTTCCTTTTACTGTCTTTCTCTTTCACCATGCTGTTATAGTGGATTGTTTTAATTGTAAAATGTCCAGATTTGTTCTATGAAAATAAAATAGCTTATTTTGTTTTATTTAACAATGTTTCATATAACAAGAGATGTCCTCAGGAGCTAAAAAGATCAAGAAGGTATCTATGTCTTCAGAATTGAAGTCTATTCCTTTTTTTTACATATTTTGCACTATCTTGACTTTTTAAATTACTTTTACATACGCTCTTGCCTAACATATTCTTTATGTGTGATAACTGGCTATATTTTATTTGAGAATTGATCATCAATCGAGTATGATTTATTTATACTATATAATGTTGACAGACTTTGCTACAAGCATGTACTGTAGTTTGGGAATCAGTGAATATTTTACCATATCATCTAAGAAAAGTTCAGTATTTTCAAACATGCTTTAAATTGTCTTAACTAGCTGCTTTGGCAAGAAATGTGATTAAACTAAACTAAACTAAGCAAAGCAATTTGCAGCTGACTTATGCAAAGAAATTGTTTTGTGTAAATTACATATGACTACATTTTTCAAACAAGGAGAAGCTGGAATTTCTCTCAACTGTTATATTTAAAGAGAATTTTAGAAAAAAGAAGAAGTATTCAAATTTCTAATATATCTTGCCATTGTCAAATAATTTTAAAATTTAGTGATACTGACTTATATTTTCAGGTGTCATATTAATTATTTTTTTCCAGCAAAATTTCTGTGTTCCAGTTTTAACTAACAACATTGTCCACTATTTAATCTGGAAAATATATTGAGATCATAATTTCTTGAAAAATATTCAGAAGAAAACTTGTTTTTGTTTTATTTTGAAACAGAGGCTATCCTGGAAAGAGGGGGTGTTGTAATATTATGTTTACCTTTCCCTAAAATTCAGAAAACACTTTCATGGAAGTCTTTTTATCTTCTTTTTATCTATGCAATAAAAAGGCTGTAATGAGGTTGTAATGAGAAATTTTGGCTGGTTCAGAATTACACAATGAAATTTATACTAGGCTGGGCACTCGCATCTAATGTCCCCAGTCCTGGCTCATCATCTTCTATATTATATTCTACTATAGTAGTTTTATACAGTATCAATGTGCTACATGTTTTGGTTAAAAGCACATCAATTACACATTTGATACATTTGAGTCAAATAGAATTGACTGCATCTGGTTTCTTTGTTGTCAATTTTGTCAATAAGTTTAACTGTAGATCTATTGTTACCTTCACTTAATGATCTAATTTATACATAATGTCTTATCAAAGATTTTTTTTGTTTGAGGCTTAGAATATCATTTCAAGCATTATACAATAGTTTATTTTTGTTAGCAAATGACACCTGAAAATTGCAGTTTGCTTATATATTCTGGCTTTGTTAATATATTCCCTGTCTTAATCCAGAATTTGGCTTGTTCCCAGATTATTACTTACTCATTTCAGTATTCCATTAATGTTTGCTAAGTGTTTGCAGATCAAGTGGGGGTGGGGAAACAGGTACTTCTTGACTTACAAATGGTCAGTTAGCAATCATTGGAAGTTACAACAGACCCTCCGTTCCACAAAGCTATTTATAACTCGATTTCAAGTTACAGCTGCCACAGCACTCCCATGATCATTTGTTCTTGTGACCAACCGCAGAGACACTGCAGCGCAATCCCTCACCTATGTCTCCCTCACATCCTGCACCATTGGGTCCCTAAAGGCACTTTGCCTCCTTTGCCATGCCGCCTAATCCCACATATTCCTCCTCACCTCAGTCACCAATTGCTCAATAAACTTCTCTGGACCTCAGGGAGGGAAGGAGAACAGGTTTCTTCAATGGCCACAAGGCACAATCTCACAAGCGGCCATCTTTTTCTAAACACTCCTGGATGCTGCTTCAACTCTATGACTAATGTAACCTAGCACTTTGTAGTTGCTGTCAGATTTTGCTTGTGGGATTTTGCCATGTGGTCCATCAAAGGAGCATCCTGTCCTCCTTTACTACCCTAACTTCCTGAGTTCTGTAGATCTTCAGAAGATAAGTGACTGATTATGAAGGGAGTAGTTGGAGACCAAGTGGCTGTGGGGACCCAAGGATGCAGTGGTGGGATTCAAAAAATTTTATTACCAGTTCTATGGGCTGGCTTGGTGAGCGTGGCAGGTGAAGGATACTGTAAAATCTCCAGTCAGAGGTGGGATTTGCCAGTTCTTAACCTGCTGAATACCACCTCTGCAAGGATGGGAAGCAAAGCATGGGATATCAGTGGATAGAAGGGACCTTGGGAGACTTGAGGCAGGTGAGCAGGGGCTGGTTTCCCCCACTTCTGAGGCACTCTGTGCTCCGCTTAACAACCTGCTCATTCATTTAATTATTAGAGAGAGCAGGGATAGGGGAATTGTTAAGTGAAACAGTTCACCTGTAATCAATCAGTTTGATCAAGACATTATTTTATTTAAATGTAAGATTAATTCATGTTTAAACCTGACTTATACAATAAATAGCTAAAATGACCTTGCCTTAGTGTATGCGAATGATATATATTGTAAGAATTTTATGAGTACTTATTAATAGGATTGCAATGACTATTTTTAAAAAAATGGAATTAATTATTTTTATCTTCCATTGCATTTTTCTCAAAATATATTGATTGTTCCTGACATATCATGAAAAAATGAATTTTAAAGCCCGTATCCTTACTTGTGATGGATTTTCATTTTGGGTATAAAATATCATGGCATAACTAATTAAGTTAGTCCTTAAAGGATTTTTTTGTTCATACAATATCAGTTTAATGTAGGCCAAAAAATTAAAATTTGGATGTTGAAGGAATGGATCCAAAAAAAGCTTTCATTCATTGGACTAAAACATGAGGTGATGTTTAACTATGAAGTACACACTGAAAGTTTTGTTTCTGGGGCCTCTTTAAAGGGTGGTAAAAATTCCAAACTGCACACATGGGGGTAGAGCTCCATCCACAATATAAATTAGCCATTCAAGAAGAGAAAGCAGTTTTTCTCAACCTTTACAATGTTATGATGTGTGGATTTCAATTCCCAGATTTCCCCAGACAACACTTCTCTGGATTATCAGCACTGGACAAAAACAATGAAAAATATTTTTTCTATTATAGGATTGTGAGGGGAATATATGTGGGTTTCTTTTCAAATGAACATTCTGACTAAGCCTCTAAGAATCTTTAAAAGTTTGGAAACAGTTTTAGTGCTTAAATTACAATATTGTTCCACCATTTTAATTCTCTGGTTCGTTCAGCCACTGGAATGGATATTCATGACATGTTTAAAATACTTCATAAATCATTTACTATGAAATAAACAAAACATTTTTAATTCAATTGTGATCTGATGTACTTGCTGTGCATATGAAAGTTATAGGCACCATTGAGAAAAATAAATTTTAGAAGGAAAGAACAATATTTGTGTCTTTAAATATATATACAGGTATTTCATGTATCTATTTTTTTACTTTTCTTCAGTTTATACCAGATTCAAAAACTTTTGTTCCAGTTAAAGTAATCAAACAAGGTAATGTAGTATTTTGTGTGCTTATATTTATAGAACAGAAAGAATGTGCATGAAAAAAAGATGTGTTGCTTATATGCAATTGGAGCAAAAATACATCTGCTTAACTTAAGTATGCTGGAAATATTCTAAAATATCAACTCTTTCAGCAAATTCAATTGTTTCAGACAATTCCCCTCAGTGAGAGAAATCTTGCATTAGTCAAGTTATATAGCAGAGCTTGTCATCCTTGCAGGAAATTAAACAAAACCTGGATTGAGTTTACCCCCCAACACATACAATGGTTTGGCAGCAAAGCAGAATCCCTGCTTATGTAGCCTTGTGGACAGGAATGAATCAAGGAAGGTTATGCAGAATAACTATCACAAGCTTTTTGCAAATAAAACTTTATTGATATCAATATATTTACTTTGATCATTCACAAGGTGCTGTTCTCTGTATCAAGTAGGTTATTAAAAACATACAAGTATCATTTTATAAGTTCTGATTTAGTATGTTTCTTTCCCAACCAAATACACACACCCCACACTATCTTCTTCTTAGCAAAATTGGTATACAGCTTTTGAAAGGTTTGGAAGGTAGTAAATGGTGAGATCTACTATAATTTTGCATATGGTCATTATATCAGGAATTCAGAGATCTGATGTTAATTGATAATTAATGCACTCTTGTATCTGCCAAAACTCTTTAAATAAAATCATCACCTTGAATTTTTAGTATCCTATCTGGAGTTTCCAAAGTTTCTTTGGTAGTTTTTCACCTTCAAATCCACATTTTCATTATATAATGTTACATAATACTAAATATTGTGTTTCATAAATAACAAAAATATGTATAATTTAATAAAAATGTAGTTTATAAGAACCATTCAGAATCTTTCGTATCAACCATAATGTGTCAGATTTATTATATCAAAAAATTTCTAACAGTTTCATTCTTATTACTTCCACAGTTCTTCAAAATATTACACATCGGACACAGTCTGAAATTCTACATAAAGGAAACTCTCCTTTATCAGGACCAATATTAGGTAATTAAGATGGTCATTATTTTTTATAAACATTCTGTGACTTTCTTTCACAACTTATTTGTGGGAGGCTCTGAGTCTAAATGGATATAATAGCTAAACCAATTCTTATTAGCTTGTAGTGCATTTGGAGTACAAGCTAATGGAGCTTTTATGATAAAGAAATTTAAAGTACACAGTTAAACCTTCAGTCATTGGTAGTGCCAACTTTGTTGGTAACATAATGCTTTATTTTGTTAGCATTATCACTTGAACAATATCAACATTTTGTCTTGGTATTCTACTATACATATTCAGAAAAGAAGTAAAAGGGTTTTAAAAAGCTGGTGTACTGTAATTATATAACATCTCTCTGGGATGGTAAAGGATGCCTATTATTGGCAGTTATTGAAAAATAAACACATAATTTTCTATACTTATAAGATGAAGCTATAATCCTTTTTCTACCTCTACTCTGCCAATTGATTCTTTCTACTACTGATTTTATTCTCTACATAACTGGAATCTTAAAAACGCTTCTAACTGATTAACTGATTCATTTATCTGTATGTGTAGTGCACCTTATTGTTCCTGATTTCAATGCAACAAAACAGAAACCTCCATCTTCCTCAGGGTTGGATATATTTGAAAAACCAAAACAAAGTGTAGGTAAGTAGAAAACCTTGGGTGAATAGAATTTTTCTCTCATTCACATAGGAGTGTCATATGTTTAACCATTGTTAGGGATATACCCTAGCAGAATGTGCACAGCAGTCAGGCAGTCAGGCGAATATGAGAGAAAGTGTTTTTTAGTTTTCACACTCCGTAAAAATGGATACACTGTCTTAGTTGAATAGTTTATTCCATTAAGAGTTTAGCAGGGTCAAACAGTCCAAATATCATTCACTAGTGTTCAGTCAGTTCAGTCCGGAGATTGTTCAATTGCAAAAATCCAGTGTCAAAATAAATCAGTTAACTTACAATGTCAATCCATAAATCAGTCCAGTAAATATCTTCTCACAGTAGATTAGATATGCAGCATTCAAAACTCTTTCCTCCTTCGACGTCAGCAACAGGGAACATGCAGAACAATCAACCATCAATCCAGTAGCAATCCAGGTTCTCTAGCTCCCTCTTATGGCAGTTTCTCAACCGCACCCAAATTATATCATTTAGAGTTTAAAGTGAAAAACACATTTAAACTTTGCTATCATGGTTTATATATTATTTACCCAAACAACGTTAGGTAACTATGGTTATTCCTAACAACCATGGCCATGATGTGAAATAGTATACTCATGTCATGCCCCTGGTGGAGACTGACTCTGAGGGAGAGGAGGAGCAGCCAACAGGAAGTGGAAATGTGGATACGGAGATTGTGGAGGAGGCTGGGGAACGGCAGAGGCCGACTGGCCAGTCAGAGGAGGACCCAGGCCATCCCCTCTCCATCCTAGGGAGTGCAGGGAGGAGAGGATAATGGAGAGACGTGGTCTACTGGGAGGAGAGGGCCTTGATCCTTTTCATGGGCTGCAGCTATGATAACTGGATAAAAGGATGGACATGCGTACGGGCAAGTGCTGGAAACAAAGCGTAGAAATATCTCTAGTTTATTGTTCCTCTCTGAGTTTGGCATCCTTCCCAGTGTGTGTTCTGATATCTGTGGATGTCTTCAAGCCATTATCTTGCCTGGTTTGTGTTGTTTTTTACTCTTTATAATTTAAACGGCATTTCTTCCTTCTTGTGTGGGAGCTTTTTGTCTCCAGTCAAGGATATTTTGAGCCTGGAAGCAAAGTGAAGGGGGAAAAAAGGGCTTCCCCTGTTTTTTGTGACTGTTTATTTTGTATCCCACCCTGGGTCATCACAACTCAGCTACCAAAAGGCCACCTTTTTTTTACTTACTTACTTATTTACCTGTTTAACTAGTCACAATTTATGCTGAACTAAGGCAGAAGACAGGATTGGGCCCATCACTTTCTTCCACCCCTAGGAAGGAGGTATGGCAAACCACTTCTGAAAAACTTGGCAAAAATATTGCTGGAACTTGTGCAGGCAGTCGTTGAGATATTGGCTGGAAGGAAAAAAGGATAAAGATAAAAATCTAACTATATATAGCCTTGTTTCATTACTCTGTATTTAGAATGATATTATGACAATAAGTGAGAAGACTAAATTCTGCTATAATTCCAGAATCAATTGACCTACAGTCAGTACAAATTGTTATTTAATGAGGACTTTAAAAGTAAGGCTTTGTAGATAAAGTCCAACTGAGCGCAGTTTATGGTTGTTTCTGATGTTCCAAGTTACTTGAGGCTAGTGACTTTTTCCATTTAAGAATCCTATGAACTGAATGTTTCTAATTATTACCTGTAAAAGTTCCAAAGTCTATTTGCTCAATTTTTGTATGTGATAAATATGCTAAAATTAATTGCTTAAGTCATGATGTGCTTCAGAAGCTAATTCAATTGTTTCCCTATCATTATATTTAGGGATCAGTGTAGACTTTTAAAAAAACCTAACAAGAATGGAAATGTACAGAAAATTTTGATATGGTTTTGTGTAACTATTTAGCATAATGTTTCTCTCAAATTACTATAATTTGTTTAGATATATTATTTATTTGCTGTTTAGTTCACTTACTATGGATATTGTTATCCTGATAGATTCAGCAATATGTAGCATAATAAATAAACAATTTCAACCAGACCATAGATGGTAGTGCTGAATGGAGTTAGTTATCATTTGTCTTTCCATTTTCTATTATGTCCACAAAGAAAACATTTCCTATATATATTTGGAAAAACATAGATTTGCATTTAAACACATTTTAATTTTTTAAAACTTGTATCAGAAAATTTATGTAGAAAAACCTCTGAAATATAAAATAAAATTATTACCTGGGAAATTTGTATTTAAAATAATAGACTTTCAGGCAATATGGTGTGTTTATATTAAGGAAAGTTGAAAATAAAGATTCATGCACTTTTATTTAGATTGTACATATGGAAAACCAAAATATAGCTTTAGTAATTTAAGCAGTAAACTAATCAATGTATACTGATTCAAACGGCCTGACTAAAAGTAGTCAACCTTAATTGCAGATATAGATGATATATCTTTCCTTTTAAACTAAAAAGGATTGCATAAAGCATTCTTGCTTTATGCAGCTAAGAACAAAGCTCAAGAATGGATCCCAAAATCAAACACATCAGAAGTCAAAGAAATTGCCCCACAATCCCAGATTGGTGATTATTTTGTTCTTTCTTTCTTTCTATATAGTTATTTGACAAGAACTTTTATTTAATTATTTATACTGAGGTAATATTACTTTAAATGAATCACATCTCACATTATTTGGAAAAATATATTGAGAGACATACATTTTCCTGATTTTTATTGCTCATTTTATTCAGTGACTTCTAGAGAACCAGTGAATATACATTAATGTGTTTTGTGCAGTTTTGTGAAGTTTTAATTCAGGAAATAGCAGTTAAAGATATATGAGAAGAGAACCAGCTATTCACTTCTCATTCTGTGGAGAGAAGGTTTCCTCAAGTTGGAAAGAAATGCAATGGATGGAGATGAACATGAGTGATGCCCCCCTTTTTTTTCTGATTCCATGGGACTGGAGATCTGATAGCTGGAGAGCAAACTCTTTTCTTCTTTCCAATAAATCTGTCTTCTTTCTCCATGGATTAGACAGAACAGCATATAATCCATGGATGGAAGGCCCCTTTTGTCCATTGGTGTTAGGGAAGACTGCTGGACATATGTCAGAAATAGTATTCACCCAGACCCATTGATCAGGCATTACTGAATCTGTGCTTTTAAAGCCATATATAGTATTTTACATCACATCTGACTTTCTAGCAGAGTGCAGGTTCAGAATTTAGATTCTTTTTTAGCAGTTCATTTTTCTCATGTTCTTACAGTGCTGCACACTTTACAAATAAGTAAGTGTGATTGGAATCGAGCTTAACATTTGATAGCTACATTGGACATAAGTGTTAATTCTTGGCAACAGCAATAAAATAGTTTGCCAGTGCTTTTGAAATCTTATTCAGTTTCTTAGTCTAGTTTACAAACCAGGAAATACTTTTGGTAATAGTCTCTCCAAGTACTAAGCAGGTCCATAACTGCTTCTAAGCTCAGGTATAATCTAATGTATTTTATTAAAAGGAGTTCATGTCCTTCTTAGGAAGAAGATATAATTTAGCCAGGGGTGGGATTCTACCAGTTCGCACCTATTCGCTAGAACCAGTTGTTAACATTCTAAGCAGTTCAGAGAACCGGTTGTTGTTCCTGCCTAATCCTGTAAGGAAGGCAGGAAGAAAACATTCTGGTGTTGCTTACAGAAACTGCCTTTCTGTTAACCCTTATTACATTCTTGGCAGGACTAGACTTCCTGTCTCAGGAATGTCTCTGGAGTTTTTTTCCTCTCCTTTGCTGGTACTTTGCTTGTGTGGCGTGACCATTCAAAGTTACAATGGCACTGAAAAAAATGACTTATGACCATTTTTCACACTTACGACTGTTGCAGCATCCCATAGTCATGAGAGGCCAGGCGAGGAGATGCGTGCCTTGATGTGAGTGATATTGAGTTGGCTATACCCAGCCAATAACATGACCACCAAGCCATGTCCACCAAGTCACATGACCACCAAACCACACCCACCACCTAAGCCACACCCATAGAACCAATTGTTAAAAATTTGAATCCCACCCCTGAATTTAGCTTACTGATAAAGTTAAATTCAGTTTAAGCTAATAGTTTCTCTCTCTCTCTCTCTCCCTCCCTGCATCCCTCCTCCATCCATCTATCCATCCATCCATCCATCCACCCATCCATCCATCTTCATACAGCTATGGCTGAACAAGATTTGGAAAGGAGTAAACCTACAGCTTCTGATGTTCCAAAAGATTCTGCAGTCAGTCAAGGTAACGTATTATTTCCATGCTTTATTTTGCTGTTTTGAATTACCAATTAACATGTTCTGAACTGAAACAGTGCCATAATGATGCACTGTTTTTTTTTTTTTCAAGCTATGAGGTGCTATATTATCAGTGCATTTCTAATTAAAGCATGGGTTAACTTTTTGAATAATTGTGAGATTGTGCCGAAATAGTTGTATAGAAAGGGGCATAGTAATGGCATGTAAAAACAGCACATTTTATAACAGTATTCAGTTTTAATTTGTGGAATTTTATGTACAGAACTGCAAGTGCTATGTTGACAGAAAGTAAGGAAAGGTTTTTCAATCTGATTCACTTTATATAAGCTGGAAGTATAGTTCATGGCCAAAAGTTCTTTTGGCTGTAAGCTCTGAGGCCTGTAGTCCTGTCATATCTGGAAAACATCTGGTTATGAATGGCTAATGAAAAATAATAGTTCTTATAAAAATGGCCTTAACTTTTTTTAATTCTCTGGAAATGAAATGAAATTTTCAAAGCCCAGAAATGAATCATGTAATAAGCTTATGAATATTTTATATTTATTGAAATATAGTTCAAATTATTATAAAGACTGCTAATCAAAGCCCTTCCCAGTTTATATTCCAGAGAGAATAGGATAGTGAAGAAAAAGAATATAGATATTAAGTGAAATTGCTTATACCTAAAATGTTATTTAACAAAAGTTTATATTTCTTTGTTTAAATGATAACAAAGTGACTGTTCCCTTTCTTCAGAAATTTAAAGAATAAAAAGAGAAAAGCAACAGAATTTTTGAACTAGAAAAGAATTGCTGATAGTAGTAGGTGAAATAGATTTCCCATAGTTAATGAGATTTCACTTTAATTTGGAAGAACAAAAAAATAATAAGGAAATCCATCTTTAACAGAGGGGTATGTAACACCCTGTTAATGTAATGCAATCTAATGTTTGTTTATTGAAAAATAAGGCACACTTTATTCAAAGGGACTTTTTTCCCAAGAATATATATTTCCTGTGTCTTTTCCAGGAATATTTCAACAGTAAGATTTTGAAAAATATTCTGTCATCTAATATTTATTTATTAATTGCTCACTGAATTATTTCCATTTCCTCTATTAACTGAAAAACAGCTTTTGGAGCAATGAAATGAAAACACAAAATACTATCTGGTGAAACCTGCTTTGTTTGAAGTATGCCATATATTTGGTCATTTGGTGTGTAAAGAAAAGGTGTTACTTTTGATTTCTTTTAGCTCACACCGAAAGTGAACTGGAATCTTCAAAACCTAGCAAAGTTCCTATGACTGAAATGCCACCTGTCACATTGGGTAAATACTTTGTTTACATATTGCAAAGCTACTAATAGTGCTACTAATATATATAGTACAAACATTATATTTAAATCAATTAAATACCTTGCATTAATGTATTTTTTTATTTTTTTATTATTGCCATCAAGTCATTTTTTTATTTCTAGAAATTACATACATAGATTTTTTTCGCATGACAAACTACCCCTAATCTGATCATTTAGGTCTTTTAGCAGTGCACTCATTGTAACTGAGTCCATCTATCTTGTTGCTAATCATCCTCTCCTTTTTTTTCTTTCCACCTTTCCCAGAATTAAAGCCTTTCCTGGAAATCTAGATCTTCAAATAATGTGTCCAAAGTCTGTTCACTTGTGTTTTGAGATTCCATTGTCTTTGCCATTATTGTCAGCTTTGATTTTGTGAAGCTGTCTTCAGCACACTATATATACCCCTGGAATTCATGCTTCATGGTAACTTTAAAAAAAAAACATTAGCTAAAAGTACCACCATGAAGATAAACCTATCTTGGAATTGAATCTTTTGCCTTTGCAGTATTTACTAGTAATAATATTAGTACTTCATTTATGTCACTTAAAGAAAATTTCTTGGTTTTTCCAAGCCATCTTTGCTATTAATCTAGCAGTGTACAATGTTGTGACTTTAAGAATCCATTGAATAACCACTAGCAGAGTTTACCCTTGTTTTCTATTTATGATAATTTTAATCATCACAATAAATTCCAGTTTGGTTATAAAAAGGAATGACTTTGTTTTAGTAAAGGAATAGCCACAATCCAACAGACATTAAACATACTTAATCTCACTGAAATAAATCTTCATCACGATGAATCACTGTGTTGGATTGCAGTCAATATCTTTTTCAATCGCATTTTAACAAAACAAAATGATACAATTCTCAAAATACAAGCTTTTACAAGCTGGTGAGCAACAGAGTCTTTTAGATATTTGTAAATTCACATATTTGTCTTTGTGAGCTATCTTTTTGAGTGGCATTGGCCATTGGTGTAGTGTATTTAAATAGAGACTTCTAGGGCAATGTTCCTATTGGTTAGCAGAAGCAACGATACGATTGGTTAGTAACGTTAGTATCTGATTGGCCACCTATAGCGGTGGGAAGTTTAACTAAATGTCATTGGTTGTGAGCCGTGGAGCAGCCGCTATAAAAAGGGCTGCTGCGGTTCGACTGCAGTTGAAGTTACTGTTTATTAATAAAGAGCTGAAGTCAACTCCGGTCTGCGAGTCTCTTTACTGGCGACAGAACAATTAGCTTAACCATACACATTGTTCTCTCTTTCATCCTGTACAGATGCTTAGACAGGCAGTCCTCAACTTACAATTGTTCGTACAGCAAATGCTCAAAGTTACAATGGTACTAAGCAAAGGGATTTATACTATGACCCATGCCTGAAGTTAGGGACATATAGGTGGGTGAAGGAGTTGTAGGCAGTTGTTCATTTTACTGAAGTTCAGAACTAAGAGACATCAAACCTGGAATGGTTTGGATTGGGGTGGATACTTACTTAACAAGTATAATTCTTGGTTAAATGGCAACTGGGACTGCCAGGACTGCAGTCACTTTTGTTGCTTTACAACAATGTCACTTAGCAATGGAGAGTCTGGTACTAATTGTGGACATGAGTCTATTTCCCTCAGTCTGATTTAGTAAAAATGTTTATACCATCATTATGTAAGCAGAGAGTATGTAAAATATAAGATTATGTCCACTATATTATATCATTAAATCATAAGTATTTTTCAAGATTTGTGAAATCATATAGTGGCTTTTCTTGTTATTTTTGTTTTTAATATTTAGATCTTCACAAGTTTCTAGGACTTCCAAAAACAAGACCATCTCCTAGGCCTCAAATGCCCACAGAACCATCAGGTGAAGATGATTTCTTTTCTATATTATTTTAATTATATTTTCACTTTAAAATTCTTCAGAAAGGATTAGCATTCTTAGATTATTTTAGTCCTAAAATTCCATCTTGACAACATTTAAGGTTTTTCTTTAGTCTTAATGATAGATTTAGTCTTTATATCATAAATTCTTTGATTGGCATTAAATTATGTCCTGAAAAGGCTTACTGTAGAACAGCCATAATTTTTAATATAAATTTGTACCAATGTTTTTTTTTTAATGACAATTTCTTTTATTTTAGTTTCAAAGAAAATGCAGCCAGTTCCTTTAGAACCCAAAACACCTGTTCCAAAGACTATACAGACAAAAGCAGGTAATTATTTTTCTCTAATATTACATTTGAATAATGCAGTTTATAAATAAAGCTGTTTTGTATATGTTCAAACAATATTTAGCTAAAGTCACTTCCATTATGATGACTCTACTTCTGGTTCAGATCCAGTATAGGCTTACAGTAAAAACCCCTCATTCTCAGTGTTTAAGCTTGGAAAGTTTAAAGACTATTGTGAATCATTTTCAAATTGTCTCTGAAGAATTGCGGAGTAGAAATGAAAATACCCACTCATCAGGTACGGAAAAGAAATATATTCCTAAATATAACATAGCTATCTGATTCCAAGACAGTATTCAGAGTACTTGCATGCACAAACATATCCTGTCTTTATAATTGTGATAGATGGATTTCTCATTGTGTTTTGTTAATCAAGCTGTAATGGCATAGTTCACACACATAATACTAAATCATAATGGGAGAGTCTCTGCATCATGCTGAGACAAAAGCACAATTCACATTATGTTTTGTTATTTTGCATGACACACAAAATTCGGATTTAGGTTTAAGCAGCAGGAAGTTGAAGCTGAAAAGAAAGAAAAATAAGTCTTTTCTGGTCTTCTTTTAAGGAAGCTATTTGTGACTGAATGTATCAAAAAGGATTAAGGCATCGTAGTGGGTGTTTTTTGTTTTTGTTTTGTAAAAGAGAGTGTGTTGTAATTTGTTAAATGAATTTTAATAATATATTGATCTTATTAGAAATGGGCCTGCTGTAAAAGGATCAGGGCTATGATGTTAGTTTTGAACAACTTGAATATTAAACTTTAAAAATGTACTTTCTGTCCTGCACAAACAGCAACTTCAGAAAGGTCAATTTTTATGAGAGCATTGACAAAGAGAGGATATTTTAAACTCAGATAATATATGTTTCAGATACTTTCAGCTGAACAATATTGTCAAAGGTAAAAAATTATTCTACAAGAATCTGTAGTTAACATAAGATAG